ATTGCGAATTAATTTTTGCCACATGCGGCAGCTTTAGAACTTTTATTTATTCTCCCAGTGTTTCTTTTCATTCATATTTTAACACAATTTTAAAACAATGACCGATTTCCACTTTCTGCAGTGGAACTGCCGTGGCCTAATCAGAAATATTGATGACGTAAATTATTTTATGGACAAGCTGAGACCCATTGCACTCAGCCTCCAAGAAACACATTTAAATAACACTAATACACAAATTTTACGTCAGCACCAGGTTTTTAGAAAAGACAGAATTTCCTCAAACTCGTCTGGAGGAGTGGCACTAGTGGTGCAGAATGGTGTTGCTTGCTCTGAGGTCCCCCTTTCTACGCCCTTAGAGGCTGTAGCGGTGCGCCTGCTTGTTGACCGTTTGATAACTTTAGTTTCTCTTTATCTGCCACCTAACTCTCCATTGAATATCAGTGAACTTGAGTCACTTGTAGAACAATTACCTCAACCTTTCTTAAATTTAGGTGATTTTAATGCCCACCACCCTTTGTGGGGTAGTGCTCGCCAGGATTCACGTGGAGGTGTCGTAGAGTGGTTTTTGTTGTCATCTGGGTTGTGTCTTTTTATTGGGAAGGAACCTGCATTTTTTAGTGCAGCACATCAATCATTCACATCTATTGACCTTTCTATTGCATCACCAATTTTACTTCCATGCTTTTCATGGACTGTTTTAAACAATCCTTTTGGGAGCGACCATTTCCCTATTGTTCTTGAAAGCACGATGCCAATACCTTCTATTCCGACACCACTTCCAAGGTGGAAATTGGAAAAGGCTGATTGGTCTTTTTTTGTTTGGAAGCTTTTATTGACTCTTCTGTTCTTGTAAACATGAGCCCTGAAGATGCTACGCTGTATGTTACTGAAGCGATTATAAATGCCTCATCACGCTGTATACCCCAGACGTCTGGACGACTCCCCAAGAGGTGCAAGGAACGATGACTGCACCACAACACGCAAGTTGCAAAACAAGGCATGGTGCATCTTCAGACGTTATCCCACACCTAGGAATTTACTTGAATTCAAGAAAAGAAGAACCAAAGCTCGCTGGACGTGAAGGCAAGCGAAAGGCAGGTCTTGGAAAAAGTATGTCACCTCTTTGAGCAGCTTTGTTTCTTCAAAGGAAGTGTGGGATCGTCTCAGGAAGATTAGGGGAGACTATCGGTCTTTCAGGATACCCCTCGTTCCATCAGCAACATCCCTGAGGGAACAAGCAAATGTTCTTGGTGAACATTTCCAGGAAGTCACTAATTCAGCCAACCATAGTGAATCCTTTAATAGGTTTAGATCAGCAGCAGAAAAACAAACTATTTCTTTGTCTGGTGGTCAGGGTGCTCCTCATAACAAGCCAATTACACGGAGTGAGCTTGAGTTAGCTCTTGGTGTCAAAAAGAAATCTGCAGCTGGGCCAGATAGGATTCAGTACGAGATGCTAAGAAAACTGTCGCTTGAATCCTTAAGCAGTTTGCTCACTTTTTTAATTTATTGTGGGATGCTGATTGTTTTCCGGACTGTTGGAAAATGGCACACATAATCCCTCTACTGAAACCCAGCAAAGACACCCCTTTTTTGCCAAAAAGTTACCGCCCAATTGCCCTGACAAGCTGCCTGGGTAAAACCTATGAAAGACTGATTAATCGTCGTCTTGTACATTTTTTAGAGGCAGAGGGTGTTTTTGATAGAAATCAGTGTGGCTTCCGAGCAGGCCGCTCCACAGTAAACCACCTTGTCCGTCTGGAAACCTCTATTCGGGAAGCATTTGTGCATCGCCAGCACTGTGTCTCTGTCTTTTTTTACCTACAAAAGGCTTACGACACGACTTGGAGATATGGGTGTGATGAGGTGGACAATGGAAGCGAGAAGAGAGGAAGACGAAGTGGGGCCGGGCAGTGTGGTGCGCGTGAAAAAGGGGGCTGCTGAAGGCAGATCGGCAACTGCGACGCAAAAAAAAAAAAAAAGACATCGGTGGGCTCCCGCGGTCCCGACGGCAGCAACGACTGGTTCTGGACGGGCGGCTAGAGGCCCGTGAGAGCTAGCCCTGGCCAAGGGGACCGCCGCCTACGCCGGAAAGCGAACATTCCCCAAGCCGACTTAGAAGGCAGCACCCGTGGCTGCTGCCGACGACGACGTGAAGGTGCGGTGCTTGACTCGAGTGAGACTACGTCATCTATTTTCGTTTTTTCTTCTGTACATAATACACCTCTCTTTCTTTCACTCGCCGTCCTCGGGTTCTTCGTCCTTTATTCACCATCTTTCCATCACAATATCTGGCGTCCGCGACAGGACTCTCTATTTGTTAACAACCCCTAGAGAGCAGAACCCCGGGACGGCTGTGTGGGAGAGATAAGAGCATGGATGCTGAAAAATTGCTTGGCGTTGGTAAAGAGCTCGGGTACGTGGGCGAGGAACTCCGTACCTGGGTTGAGCAAGAGCGTGGTAGGCAACGCGAAGAACGGGTCAGATTGCGGGAAGATGCGCGGGAAGCAGCTAAGGAGACACAGGACACCGCTGACCGAGAGCTCCGCAGGCTCCAACAGGAACAAGAAGTGTTACAGCTGCGCCTGCGCTTACAAGAGAATAGCGGCTCAGCTCATGATGAGGTCCACCACACCAATGGCAGGGGAGAGAACTCGGGAGCACAAACTTGTCACCGGAGTCCCCACAAACTAATTCCACCATTTAATGAAAAGAGAGACGACCTGGACGCGTATATCCAACGGTTTGAGCGGGTTGCAACTAGCCAGGATTGGCCTCGAGAAAAATGGGCAATGTCCTTAAGCTTGTGCCTCACCGGTGAGGCTTTGACAGTTGTGGGTCGGATGACACCAGAGCAGTCATTGGATTATTCTAAAGTCAAACTTTCCCTGCTACAGCGGTTTCGTTACACCACTGAAGGGTACAGAGAGAAATTCAGGGAAAGCAAGCCAGAGGAGGCAGAGATGGGGAAACAATTTGCAGCCCGACTTCTTGGGTACTTTGATCGCTGGGTTGAAACTGGAGAAATTTCGAAGACGTTCGAGGCCCTGAAAGATCTGATAGTTGCGGAACAGTTCTTAAAATATTGTCACCCAATGCTATCAGTCTTCTTAAAAGAGAGGAACTGCAAGACGCTCGAAGACATGGCAGTAACCGCGGACCACTTCTTAGAGGCGCAGGGCCAAACTAACTTGGCAAAATGGAACAACGACAGCCTGAACAGTAACAAGGGTGGAGATCGAAGTAAGGAGGATACCCGAATGCCACCCACCGCTAGGGGGAGGAATCAATGTTTTCTCTGCAACAAGCCAGGTCACAAGGCAGCAGACTGCTGGGCGAGCACCAAGGCTCAACGCTTACCCGTGTGTTGGAGATGTGGGAAAACGGGACACAAGGCAGCAGCATGTAACTGGAAACCGCAAGACAAGCAGGATAGACCTCCTCAGGCTTCCTGTATGCTTTCCGTTCGACTAACACCTGACGAGACCGACCCAGATGACACATATGTCCTACTGAAAAACGGGGACAAAATCCCAGTGGTGAATGCGGCACTTGGAAAGGCTCCACGATTTCTAGTAGAAAACATGCCAGTGGTTTGGGGAGAAGTGGGAGATCGAGCGGCCACAGTATTGCGAGACAGTGGGTGTAACACGATTGTAGTGAACAGAGACCTGGTTACGGATGATCAGCTAACTGGGGTTTCCAGTCCGGTGTTTTTGCTGGATAGGACGGTCAAATATCTGCCAGAGGCAGAAATTGATGTAAGAACGCCTTATTTTACAGGCAAGGTATTGGCGAAGTGTATGGAGAACCCTCTGTATGATTTGGTACTCGGGAACATTGATGGGGCGAGAGGGATTGATGATCCAGATGAGGAATGGGAGGGAGAAGGATCAGGGAGATCTAAAAGAAGTGAGGAGAGTAACATGCTGATAAGCACGTCCGTGCGGCACGAGACTGCCGGCAGGATGACCCAAGACGAGGGTGAAAGGGTGCAAGACGACGGTGTTCTGGATAAAGAAAGAAAATACGCAGGGGCGCTCAGAAAGGGGCGCTCAGACAGCCAAAGGACGATTTCCGAGTTACCAGTCATGACATTGGATCCGATTGACATTGACCACGCTAAGCTGAAGGAGGCACAACGTAGTGATGAAACACTGAAGAGGTGTTTCGCTGTCGTTGGCACAGCGTTTGTGTCGGGAAAATCGCAGGAATCCGAGTTCTTTCTACACAACTATATTCTCTACTGAAGATACAAGGACTCGTCGCAAAAACAGTGGAAACAGCTGGTGGTCCCCAAAGAATTTCGGCAGATTGTGTTGAAGCTCGCACACGAGGGGATCATGGCTGGCCACCAAGGAGCAGGAAAAACCACCGATCGTATTCGTGAGGAATTCTATTGGCCGGGAATAACAGCGGACGCGAAACGATTCGTGAAATCATGCGACATTTGTCAGAGGACTATACCGAAACACTTGGTTATCAGGGCACCCCTAGAAAATATGCCTATCATTAGTACACCATTCCATAGGGTTGGCATAGATATCATCGGACCTATCAATCCGGGTTCAGAGTCCGGCAGCAGGTATGTTCTGACGGTGGTGGACTTCGCAACCAGATACCCGGATGCAATCCCATTGAAGAGCATTGACACTGCGGAAGTCGCAGAGGGTCTGTTACAGATATTTGCCCGAGTAGGCTTACCACGAGATATTGTGAGCGACCGAGGGTTATGCTTCACTTCAGCCTTAATGAAGGAGGTCAGCCGCCTGCTCTCGCTCAGACATCTGACCACGACGCCTTACCATCCAATGTGCAATGGATTGGTCGAAAGGTTCAATGGGACAATTAAACAAATGATTAAACGGATGTGCCAAGAAAAACCAAGGTGTTGGGACCGGTACCTTAATCCGTTGCTCTTCGCGTACCGGGAGGTGCCGCAAAGCAGCCTAGGATTTTCACCCTTCGAACATCTTTATGGCCGACATGTTCGCGGTCCTATGACAGTGTTGAAGGAACTCTGGACAAATGAAAGCATAGACCCCGAAACGAAAACAACCTATGGTTATATGGTGGATCTTCGACGGAGACTAGAAGAGACTTGTAAGACCGCCCATGAGGAATTGAGGAAAGCTCAAATGACCCAAAAGAGGTACTACGACAAGAAAAGTGGAGTTCGACAACTGAAAGAGGGAGACAGAGTCCTCATCTTGTTGCCAACGGACAAAAACAAGTTGATTCTGCAATGGAAAGGACCATTTCCAGTATTAAAAAGGAGGAATAACGTGGACTACCTAATAGACCATGGAAGAAAGTCTACTGTATTTCACATCAATATGCTCAAAAAGCACGAAGAGAGGGAAGTTCTATGTGCTCCCCGTCAAGCCCTGGTTGGCATTACCATCGAAGAGGAGTCAGAGGAGCAAGACATTCCTAGTGTCTGCCTTAGCCAACTGGAAGGCTACAACGATGTACAGATGTCAGAGGAGCTAACTGAACGACAAGCAGGAGAAGTCTACCAACTGCTAGAAGAATTTCGAGACGTATTTTCGGACTGTCCCGGTCGAACCAGTCTCGTACAGTGCAAACTGAGATTGACAACGGACACACCAATTCAAGTACGCCCGTATCCTGTCCCTCTAGCACTGCAAGACGCTGTGGAAAAGGAGGTAGACGAGATGCGACAACAAGGCATTATTGAGAAATGCGACTCAGCCTACAGTTCACCGGTAGTTGTCGTCAAAAAAAAAAAGACAAGACCACAAGGCTCTGCATCGACTTTCGCCAACTGAACAAGGTTCTAGTACCTGATTGCGAACCTATTCCCCGCGTCGACGTGATGTTCGCTAGAGTGAGCACAAAACGTTACTACTCCAAACTTGACTTTGCGAAGGGCTACTGGCAGGTACCAATGGCTCCAGGATCAGAGGACGCAACGGCTTTCTCGACAACAACGGGATTATATCGATTCCGGTTTATGCCCTTCGGCATCAAAACAGCCCCGGCAGTATTTACACGGCTGATGAGGAAGATTCTTGATGGCGTACCGGACGCTCACCACTACTTTGACGATGTTTTAGTTGCGTCTGACTGCTGGGAAGATCACTTAAAAGCACTGCGTCAGTTTTTGACCAGGGTGAGAGAAGGAGGACTAACGATCAAACCCAAAAAGACAGAGATTGGCTTCTCCAAAATAACATTCCTGGGCCATAAGGTTGTGCAAGGATCCTTCGAGCCTCTAACGGAGACCCTGGAGAAAATCCAGGACTGTAAACAACCTCGAACCAAAAAAGAAGTAAGATCATTCCTGGGATTAACAGGCTACTACAGGGAGCTTATCCCAAACTACGCGGAGACCGCACTTCCTTTGACGGAGCTGACGAAACAAAGAGCGCCTGACAAAGTTATCTGGGAGAAGAAACATGCAAAGGCATTCGATGAACTGAAAAGACTGCTTTCCAGAAAGCCTATCTTGAAATCACCAGATGTGACGAAGATATTCGTACTGAGGACAGACGCCTCAGAAAGGTCTTTGGGGGCCGTGCTCATGCAAGAGCACGACAACGTTCTTCATCCCAACGCTTATGCTAGTCGTAAACTACTACCCCAAGAGGTCGCCTATTCCACCATAGAGAGAGAATGTCTAGCTCTCATATGGGCAGTAAAAAAGTTTCATGTATACTTGTTCGGAAGACACTTCACCATACAAAGCGATCATCAACCGTTGCAGTACCTTAATTCAGCCAGAAAATTAAACAACCGGGTACTGAGGTGGAGTTTACTACTCGCCGAATACGACTTCCACGTCGCGTACATCAAGGGAAGCGAAACCTTTGGAGCAGACTTTTTGAGTCGCTTGTAATCTGCACTGACACATCACTGTCATCGTGAAGGCCTGTCCATCCCTTTGTGTATTCTATGACAAGATGAAAACATGGCTTACACAAGCAAGTTTGGTAAACACAAGCAATATGATGGCTTGCGAAACTGGGACGTGAGAACGCGAACAGACAGCTGAGTGAGTGTCAACACCAGCCAAATTACTTAGTTTAACTTGGAAAAGTAGTGCGATGTTTCTTACTCTTATGTTTTTGGTTTGATTGTTTGTTTGTCCCTTTTTTGAAACAACTGGAACAATTGTCTTAAAGGGGGGGTCGTGTGATAAGGTGGACTATGGAAGCGAGAAGAGAGGAAGACGAAGTGGGGCCGGGCAGTGTGGTGCGCGTGAAAAAGGGGGCTGCTGAAGGCAGATTGGCAACTGCGACGCAAAAAAAAAAAAAAGACATCGGTGGGGTCCCGCGGTCCCGACGGCAGCAACGACTGGTTCTGGACGGGCGGCTAGAGGCCCGTGAGAGCTAGCCCTGGCCAAGGGGACCGCCGCCTACGCCGGAAAGCGAACATTCCCCAAGCCGACCCAGAAGGCAGCACCCGTGGCCGCTGCCGACGACGACGTGAAGGTGCGGTGCCTGACTCGAGTGAGACTACGTCATCTATTTTCGTTTTTACTTCTGTACATAATACACCTCTCTTTCTTTCACTCGCCGTCCTCGGGTTCTTTGTCCTTTATTCACCATCTTTCCATCACAATGGGATTCTTCGAGACTTGTACTCATATGGTGTCCGAGGTCGCATGCTTCGCTGTATTCAAAGCTTCTTGACGGGTTGGACCTTCCAAGTGCGTTGGGGCTACATCCTGTCGGATGTTTTTCTCCAAAAGAATGGCGTCCCTCAGGGTGGAGTACTAAGTGTTACACTCTTTGCTGTGAAGATTAATAGCCTGGGAAAGGTTATACCACCATCTGTATCGTATTCAATGTATGTGGACGATGTGCAGATTTTGTTTTCCTCTTGTAACTTGTCCAGCTGTGAACGGCAACTGCAGCTCACAATCAATCAGATGAGCAAGTGGGCTGATCAAAATGGCTTTAGGCTCTCCCCCGAAAAGACAATCTGTGTTCCCTTTTCCCTCCGCCGTGGCCTGTTTCCAGATCCAGTGTTCCACTTGAATAAAGTTGCTATATCTGTAAAGGAGGCCCACAAGTTTTTAGAAATAATATTTGATAATAAGCTCACTTTTATACCCCTCTTGAAAGAGTTGAAACATAAATGCCTACGTTCTTCAAACATTCTAAAAGAGAGGTCGCATACAACCTGGGGTTCTGACAGACGGTGCCTCTTGCGACTTTACAACTTTTTGGTACGGTCCCGCTTGAACTATGGCGCGATTATTTATGGGTCGGCGCGTCCGTCTGCCCTAAAGATGTTGGACCCCGTCCATCACCTGTGGCTTCGACTTGCCATGGGGGCATTTCGAACATCATCTGTGCCTAGCTTGTATGCTGATACACATCAAATGTCTCTGGAAAGACGAAGGCAATATTTGAGTCTTTGTTATGCTTACAAGATATACAGTTTTCCTCAACATCCCTATTTTATGCCCTCCAATCTGCTACATCTTTCCGACTCTTTGAAAACAAGCCGAGTATTGTTCGGCCTCTGAATTTCAGAGTTCAGAGCATGGCCACATCACTCCAGCTTCCTGTTAGTGAAGTTGCTTTGCTGAAGAGCCATGAAAAAATTGCACCTTGGGACCTTCTGCCAATCTCTTGTGACTGGTCACTGTCCAAGTACAGAAAGAGAGCTATTTCTTCACTCGTTCTTCAGCAGGAGTTTCCGGAACTGGAACAGAAATATAAGGACTACTCGTACTTTTACACTGATGGATCAAAAACATCAACTTTCGTGGGGTGTGCGGTTTACTCCATTGCCTTCAAAAAAGTTAGACAACTCCATACTCTTGCATATATTTTTACTGCTGAAATGTACGCCATTTCAATGGCTGTTGAGTACTTACTGGAGAGCAATATCATGAAAGCAATTCTGTTTGTCGACTCCCAGAGCGTTCTTCTAGCCATTTCGTCCTTAACAGACAGTAAGAACCTTCTCGTGCAATTTTTTCGGGTACGGTTAAACCGAGCACTTCAACTAGGACACTTGATCGAATTCTGTTGGGCTCCTAGCCACGTAGGTATTTCCGGCAATGAGAAAGCAGACTTGCTTGCTGGCTCTGCAAAAGAGTCCCCAAAACTGCCTCTTGGCTTGCCACACCAGGACCTAAAACCAATCATCCAGAAATCAATTATGAAGTCATGGCAGTTGGATTGGGATATGGAAAAAGAGAACGAGCTTCATATTATCAAGCCCCAACTGGGGGTGTGGGAGAGTTCCTCCCATGAAGACCGTCAGGTTGAAGTTCTCCCTTGCCGCTTACGAATCGGTCATATCCGTTTGACTCATTTGCACCTGCTTTGTGGTGAGGACGTTAAACTTTGCGACAACTGTGGGAAAGCTATGACTGTTTTGCACATCCTGTGGCATTGCAAATCTTTAAACCAAGAACGGCGATCATGTTTTCCAGAACTTTATCGAGGTCACCTTCCCTTTCACCCATATTTTCTGCTTGGCGATCAACCATTGGTACCATTCAATCGAGTTTTAAGTTTCCCTCATAAAACTAGCTTTTTACACCAGCTGTAGCTTCCAGTTCTTATAGTATATACTTTTAAGCCTCTGGGAAAAACCTTTGTTTGGTGCAATATGGCCTACGTTGCTCTTGCGCCAAAAAAAAACCAATCATCATCATCATCGGGCTAAATGGAGCGGGGAATTGAGGGTCGTTCAAACTGACGTCATTTGACCCAATTCAGTTTCCCATTTAAATTTATCGGGAAATTTGCGTCGGTTCACCTCCACACAGATTGATTTTGTCTGCTAAATTTAGTGGGGAAACTTATAAACAATAGGCTCTTCCTCACTTCTCGAAAACAGTATTTAATGTCTTCTAAACTAATATGAACTATATCTTATTTTTTAATAGAATTAAAAAAAATTACGTGACTTTCGAGTTAAAGGACGCTGATGTGTCTTTTAAATAATAAATTGGCAGTAATTCGCATTTCCTATGTTTGTATCTATCGTTGGATAGGAGTGCCCGCTTTTAATGCATTCTCTAAAGCATATTACTCTGTCGCGTGCTTTTCTGGCAAATGATGGCATTTTTTTTTAAAATTTCTATCCTTTAAAAAAGATAAGTACATACTTACCTTCCGTAAAATTATGGATATCCTTATACTAAATTTTTAGCGACTGGTGAATATTTTTTTAGAAATGTAAATTGTACACCTTGTTTGTTTTTATAAGCCTTTGTAAAAATAACCGAGTATAAATAATGACTGGGCAGGTTTTTAAAGCGAAAGAAAAGTTTACAATTTATATTTGGTAAAAAAAAGTTCACTCGGCATTTTCTTTTCAAAAGGCGCAGGAAACGCGGGCAAGAATAGAAGAATAAGAAAATCACATCTACGTCGTTTGGTTGTTTAATCCTCTTGGCTTCTTGCATTAAAAGCAAATACAGTTGTATATCAAAATACGCCTGTCCACTTACTGTTATGCCAGAGAACTACAACGCGCACCATATTTTAGACGCACGGTGAAAGCTACTGCCGACGGCAGAGAAACTGCTTTCACGACCCTCACTGCCTTTTTTTTTGTTGAGAGTTCCTTTACTCGTCTTAGGAGCGTGTATGTACTGCAGAGGGGGACGTAGTCACAAACGTCGCAACCATAGCTAACGCGCTTGATGTAAACTTCTCAATCAGCACAAGTGTGAGACAAGGTGCTAATTGTTTTGCGTCTGAGAAGCCCATTTCGGAATCGAGGGCAGACACCA